TTAAAAAGTACTCTAAACTGTATAAATAATGTAAAATTAAATTGAATTTATTAGCCAATCAGACAAACTTCTGCCTACGAATCAAAAGCTTATCAAAACTTATCGAATCGGCAAATACTCGGACGGTCAATTTTTGCCAGATTTTATGAAAACAGGTGTAATAACCGGGTGAGTTTTTAAAAATTTTTTTTTACAAATTGTTATATATAAAATTACAGCTGTTATCATTATTCCTGAGACACTTTATGAAACATTAACCGAATGATTATTCTACCGATTCGATAAGTTATTGATTTCGGCATGATCAATGTAACGTTTATTATTTACGAAAATAGTTTAAAGCAAGGTACGTACGAAAGTGTGCGAAAGTGCTAATCGATTTGTAAATTAAACCTCACGTGAAACTACAAGGCTTTAAACGATTTCTATTTTCACATCCTAACTAAAGTTCCATTTCTGATTGTAAATATCAGTTAGGCATTTTTTCCGGAAGCATATGCAAAAATTACATAGATAGTCTTAATCAAAATAATGTACAGTATCAAAAAATTTTTTAAAATAGAATTGTTTTTGTAATGGTAAATATTAATAAAAATTATTTAAATGATTAAACTATGTAAAAATAATTTATATCCGAATACAAAATCCTTAATATTATTATATATAATAATACCTGAAAAATTGTTATTAAGAAAGGATGAAATTCAAATATTTAAAAAATTCATAACTGTAAACGCAAAGAAGGCGTGCAAGATATTCAAACCTTTTTTTCGTTCGTCACAATTAATTATGATTATTTGATCGAACTGATTCTAATAATCGGGACTATGTTATTTAATGATTTTATTACATAATTGTGACATTTTGAATTATTAATTTATTAAACTATATCTTTTTATAGGTCTCTTGCGTTTGGTCCAAATCTGGTGAATTTATTTGTAAGTTGAATCGAATTATGAAGAAAACGCACATAGACTAAATGATAAAGATAATTAACTCATAAAATAGTATTTTGAAATTCAAAGTAAAATTAATAGAAAATAGTTTAAAACATCTAGGCTCCGGACTTCAACGGTTCCCGTTTCCTAGTGAGTATCTAAAATCTGATTGGTTATTGCATTTAATAGCCAATCGGAGTTTAGATAGTCACAGTCACCAGTTTCACCAGCAACTCTAGTATAAACTAAGTATTAATTTTTTTTTATATAATTTTTGCTGTAATACTACACAAAATAACCATTTTATACTGTACGTATACAATTTACTTATTAGTTTATTTATATACATAAAGAGTATCCAAATATATATTCATTGTTAATTGTCAAATAATAATAGTAAATAATAGTAATCAATTTCACAAATGATTCTACTCCTTAATCAAATCACGAATACAAAAAATTATTTAAAAATCTTATATAACCAAGTTTATACTGTAATTGTAATTATATAGCTTTAGATTAATAATTAAAACAGTCAAATTCCTTTAAATACATTTCGATAGAACCATATGTAAAAAAGAAAATTCGATCAACATGTATTTAGAAGGTATTACATTTAGGGAGGTAAAAATCTATTGTTATATTAGTCAGGACTAAGTAGTGACATAATTTAGGGAGGAATTTTCACAGAGTATATTGAAGGTGGTTAATATTTATTGTGACGGCTGATGCTGAAGTTTGGCTGATGTTGAAGCTAAAAAATCTGATTGGTTAGGGTTAGGGTGATCTGCAAAATTTAGCCAATCAGATTTTTTAGCTTCAACATCAGCCAAACTTCAGCATCAGCCGTAACATATATTATATTATTAATTTTATCAATTTGTATGACCAATTATAAAATAATTATGATAAGTTTGGATTGCGAAATTAAAACTTTATAAAATAATTATAAGTAACACAATATCCAAAATGAAGGTCACGCCCGACGTATTAGACATTTCTATTATCACAAATTGATACACATAATCGTACGACAAACACGTTATTTGTTTATGTTTTTAAGCCCATTTTCGGTAACTGATATAGTGTAATACAGATATAATGTCATCAAGGAAAAACATATTTCATTCCAGACTCCATTACTGATTATACATTACGTTAATATGTGCTGATAGAATTTTTCATGAAGTCTGGAATGAAAGTCTGCTGACAAGTTTTCCCTTGACGACACTAATATATATGAATAAACAAGTTTTCTAAATACACTCCCTACAATGCAGCAATGTATGATCGGATCAGTCTTGTGGTATATACGGACAATTTGAATATATTTAAATCAAAAAATGATCTGCTGACCTAAATAATCAATTTAGATGACATTTAGTTAAAGAATGTAAATCATTGGCCATAAACGATTTATAAATTTATAATTGACACGATCAATTTTATCAGTAACGGTAATGGTAATATATTTTTCCCGACGATTCGCTTCATCGGCAAAATTATTGGGGGCAAAAACGTACGTACGTACATATTGGGATAACGTCTTGATAATACGGTGGATTTCAAAATCCTCCGTATTGTTTATAAGTTGATTAAACACATTTAAGAAATATCAGCGGTAAAAAAAAGTACGAATTATTTTTATTCACGTGCAATCGTGCAATGACTACTGGCATACATTTTACTTGTACAAATATGTATCGGAGGATCGCATTAATTATCCAATTAATTATCCATTTATCCATTTATCCATTATACGGTTATATAATGTTACTGGACAAGCAAAGTTCGAGTATGATGAACCCATATATAGTAATTAAACATGCATCCTTTTTGTTCTCCTTTTTGTTTGTCTTCTGATAAAAACAGTTACGCCTTTCCAGATTAGCATTAGCGATTTTAAAATCGTTAATTAATTACGTTGAATAGAACTTTAATTTTATAAAAATGGTATATATATGGAAAATTTTTCTATTAATAGAATGCGTGACATACGTTATGTGATTATGTACTGTACAGTACGTACGTACGTACGTAACGTGCGAAGATGAAATAAACTCTCGAAAATAAAGCATATTTAGTTTAAGCATATTCACTCACTTATTGATTACGTCTTCTTTCTTACGATAGGAGAAAAGGTCATAAAAGAAAATATAAAGTTCTCTGTCAGGTGGGTACGGTAGGAAGTAATCGTGTGCATATATTACATTTGTAAAAATCTATAATTTTCGAACCGGTTTTACATTTAACTGACTTAACATATAAAAATAAAAAACCGGTTCCAAATTCAATTTTTCCGTGTTAAATAATAACGTAATACTAATTATATACTATATATATATTGTTATGTATGTAAGTATTGATTTGCGTGAATGATCATTTAATTATCAACCGCAATGGAAATTCGTTGTTTAATGCAGAAATCAGGAGACAAAGCAAAAAGAAGATTCTACAGTAAAGTTTTGGAACCAAAATAAGCAAGTCATAGAAAGAGTTTAAAGATTAAACAAATTATATTGATTAATACGTAATATTTATTGTTACTACAGTATTTTACCGAAAAAGCTTGCTATAAGGAGATAATTGTCTAATTCATAACATTTAAGCAGCCCAGCCTCGAAAAGAAAAACAAAGTTTTTTGTCGTTAATGTATTTTATAATAATTATTTTTTTGAAGAACACGGGATATGATTACCAAATTTAATGTTTCTAAATTTAGTAAATAGTTCTATAAATAGAATTCAATAACTAAAAATAGGATGCAAGTTAAGAAAGAAAAAGAAAACTTCGATAATCTAAAAAAAAAAAAAAAAAGCTCTAAAAGTTCGATCGGATCAATATATGAAATTCAGTCCGAAAAATTATTCAAATTATTCTTGAAATGATTAGATTTCCATATATTCAAGGTTAGAAGAGAATTATTTCAAAACTTATATGAATTTGTAAACCGGAGATTCCGGAGTTATTCTCAATCGCAGTGTGACCATGATCACGAACATACATAAATATACATTACGAATATACATATATGTAATCCATCATATTCGTCATTCGAGTCGAAACACAATACGAGTTTTCAAAATTGGTTAAACAGTTACTCGGGACTTTTTTTTTTGATTTAAGTTAATATAAATAACCTTATGGTAAACAATTAAGAACATATTTGGTCCTTTTTTTTGTTTTTTTTTGAAAATTGATAAATTTTATAACATACGTATACATTCAATATATAACACGAATATAGATTTTAAACATGAGCAGTATAGAATTTCTCAACGAAGCAATTGAAGTCGAAAAAGAAATCGATGAAATTAATTCATACGTTCGACAAGTTCAAACCATTCAATCAAAACGATTAATAGCAACATCAGCACAGCAAGAGGCAACACTTGCTCAAGAACGCGACCAACTCACGGACTTACTAATAAACTTACTTACCAAAACAAAAGATCATATCAGAAAGATTGAATCAGAGAATATAAAACTTAAAAAAAATAATCATCCAGATGTTACTTTACGAGAAAATCGATATGCTGTTCTTAAGAGCAAATTTCAAAAAGCTCTGAATACTTATCGAGACATAGAAGATTCATACATGAAACAACAAAAGGAAAGATTAATCAGGCAATATCGATTCATAAATCCTGATACTACACAAGAGGAAATCGAAAACTATCTTCAGAATCCATCCAATAATTCGATTTTTTCACAAACTTCTGCGAGAAGTAGAGAAGCTAAGGCTGCATTAGAAGAAGTACAGAAACGTCACGGTGATATTCAACATATTGAAAAAACTATTACTGAATTACTCAAATTATTTGATGAGATACGGTTACACGTTGAAGAAAGCGATCCAATGGTACAAGAAGTAGAGAATAATATAGAACAAAATGCTGTGGATTTAGAAAAAGCAACCGAAGTTTTACAAGTTGCAAATGTGGAAGCAAAAAGCGCAAGGAATAAAAAATGGACTTGTTGCGCTGTAACTTTAATTCTTATAGCGATACTTATTGTTATTCTTGTTTTTATACTTGTTCCATCACGTTAAGTGTGATTTCATTATTATTAATTTGTAAAATATATTATAATACTTTCAGACTAGTGTCATTTAGCCACTTTACTAGATCATTTAACTTGAATACATTTAAGCTGAAATAATAAAAACCACTTATAAATATTTAAACAATTTTTATTAGAGTTATTATTAAGCATAATTGTTATTATTCCATTTCATTTATTATATTGAATTATTGAATGAATAAGCAAACTTTCTTTTTCAAAAAAATTATCTTAATTATAGTCTTTGTAGACATCTATAATCCTAGAAACCAAATTGAATACATCAAACGAAAGTTCTATAATTCTAGAAACCAAATTGAGTAAACCCTTCCCTTTTACAGAAACGCCTTTTGGTGGTACTCCAAGCTTAAATAATT